AAATGCTGGAACGGCTTAACAAGGTGAGCTGAGCACATCCGTGAGTCTGAGTAGGGACAGAATGGAACTAAATGGCTGAAATGACCATCGCGCATTCCTCTCTGTGTCTTTTTAGGATTTGCCTATTTCTTTTGCTGTCACTCTTTCTTGAGTTCATAATTGCTTTTTTTTTTAATATTTATTTTTGAGAGATAGAGCACGAGCCAGGGTGGGGTGGGGGGCAGAGAGAGAGAAGGAGACACAGAATCCGAAGCAGGCTCCAGGCTCTGAGCTGTCAGCATAGAGCCCGACGCGGGGCTCGAACCCACAAACCGTGAAATCATGACCTGAGCTGAAGTCGGACGCCTAACCAACTGAGCCACCCAGGCGCCCCTTGAGTTCATAATTTCAACTAAATCTTTTTGTGAACTCACATACCCAAGACACATACTCCTTTCCCACCACACACAGGGTCTTGCCAGAGAATCCGAGACCTTTAAGCTTATGACAGCTAGGCTGTCAACACAAGGCAGCATCACAGCGACCAGCTGGGATTTTGCCATTCCGATGTACTGGTCCCAAACACCAAACTCAGGAAACTTGCTTTGGTTATTGGGATACAAGGATAACTCTGTTCTGTTGGCTGAGAGTCTCTTCTACAGGGGAACTCTCAGAGAACAGAGGAAGAAATTTCCAAAGAAATTTCCATTTCCCTTCAAGCTCTTCCCTCTTGGAGCCTGGAGAGCAGCTATGTGGAGGGCACCAGGGATTCTCAGCTTCTTGCTGGGACCCTCCTGCAGAGTTGTGTGGGGTTGTTCTTTGCAGGGAGTTTCCTTCTTCAGATCCTCCGTCACCAACGTAACTGATTGGATTTTCTGCTCTAGCCAGGGGAACTTGACTACCAAATGGAATAATCCTGGATCTCAGAGGTTGGGCAAAACCAGGGATGGCAAATAACTGTAATTTCAGAGCTCAAATGTCTTGAGCTCATGGAGCTCTGTTCCGTTGAAGGGTGGCTTATTTCGGGCACATGGCCGCTTTCCCCCTTTCCCTTCCTTCCACACCCGTAA